TGTCGACCGAGATATTTTCTTCTCTACTTTTCTAAAAGCTTTCTAATTTTCTACTTCTATCTCTTGTTATATATTTTCCCACAAGCTCTATCTTTTTTCTTAAGCCTGTAAGGTTGGTTTTGACAGCCGTTTTTTAGCAAACTTCTCAAGTGTTTTCCTACAGTTTTGTGTACAAGTGATCAGCGGGGAGAGTCCAAAACTTGTTTTGTATTTTTAAATTTTTTAAAATTATTTCATATTGATTTTTTAATAATAATAAATTTTCTTTTAATCCTTGAGTTTTCTTAAGATAATGAATTGGATATTTTTCTGAACAATATCGAATCAAATGAATTATAAAACTGTTAAATCTTGAATATGAAATTTTTGAAACTTTTGTTAGTTTTTTTTTAAATAGTTGGATTTAGTTAATTACTTATATCAACTGCAAATACTACATAATTGTAAATAATTTCAATTATTTCCAAGAAAACTTAAATATCAAACAAATATATATGTTGATAATATTACAAAAATTGTAGATTAATTTCACTAATAATTATAATATCATTATTATTTTTAACTTTGAATTTAAATATTCTATTACAAATTGAATTGTTTATTAATCTTTAATAATTTCACTATGTTGTAATTTTATTATTATATTATGCTAAAACTTAAAACTTAGATGCTAGTTACTGAGATATCTTTGTTCAAAGTTTTAAAAAACATTAATTTTTTAAAAAATAAATTAACCAATCAAATCAATCAACAAAATTCAATATGCAAATAAATTATTAGCCAAACAAAGTGAAGCTATCTTTATTCTTTTATTACAAAGCAATTCTATTTTATTTTCAATCATGCAATATTTAATTTAATAGAATTTTATTTATTCTAATTAATTAGTATAATTATTCAAATCTACTTTTCTCAGTAGATAAATTTAAAGTTTTTCTTCTAATTCTTTTAAACTTTTATCAGACAGGTTATAACAATTCACATTATCTGGAAGTTGGTATTTTTCAATTTTTTCAATAAGTTTAGCCTATTTTTCCTGAGAAAATCATTGTTATAATTAGTAAAAAGTTTAGAAGCTTTTGAATATTTTATTGAAATAACTAAATTTGTTGGCTAGTTAATTAATTATTTTTTTAAATACATCGAAATATTTGAAATTATAAGTCTGGTTTTCTCTTAAATCTCACATATAATTTTTGGGTGTAATTTTACATGTTATGTTGGGGTGTGCAATATACTATATAAGCCAGTCAGTTTTTTTATTACCAGTACCCATGTTGGTTATTATAAATAAGATTAATAGTAAAGTTAAATAATTTATAGGTTTGGTAAAATAGTTGAGTATTATGCAAGATATAAAGAAAACCAATTTGCATGTTTTTTTAATAAATCGAGCTTCTAAGTCAGATCACTTAGTATTTTGTGAATTTTACTAAACTCTTATTTACTTTTTATTATGATCATATTGTTTAAAGAAAATTCAAAGTATAAAAGAGAATATATACTTAGACAAATAATATTAAAATATAAAGATATAATTATAATATTCTTTGTCTTTATAATAGAATTGATGTTAGATTCTGATGATATAGTATTTTATTCAACTGTTGTATAATGTATGCTTGTGCATCAAGACTTGAATATCAATTAATTTTTTTCGTATATCATTATATTTAATTATAAAATGACACCAATGTTAATATATATAAAATTGTTGTTTAAATTTAGTTTTGTTTTACAAACAAATTTGTTAATAAAGAATAACAGAGGTTTCTAGAATACCAGAAGAAGTTTGTCTCAAACAAAATGTATAGTTGCAAATTTTAGACAAAAAATTATTGATTTAGAAAAGAAAACAGAAAAAAAAAATCAAGTATAATGGTCCTTCCTTTTAAATTCATTGTAATCTTAAGAAAAAAATCTAAACATTTTCATTCCAGATCTTTTTCTTCTGCATTTACATTTTCCAGTAGCTTCTTTTCTTCATTTTCATATAAATTTACCCAATCAAATTTTGGTATATTTTTAGATTAATATGATAAACTCGACTAAAAAATTCTATATTGTTTTAGCAAATTTTATTATAAATTAACAGTTTTTATTTTAATTTTTAGCAATTCTTTTTAATATTTAATTTTCATTTTATATATCATTAAATTCATAGATTGCAAGAATGTAAAAATATTGATAATTATTCATTGGCTCTATGAAAATTTTCAATATTTAAAAACTACTTTACAAACTTTCTACCTTTTATTAGATATTTTCAAATATCTGGTGATGATATTTATAACAAAGTATATTCTTATAAACAAATTCTTAATAAAAAAAACCCTTTGGAAAGATATAAAAAAGCTCAAAATTAACCTATATTACCAAAGATCCTTCCATTTTGTATTGTATTAACACATACATTAACCACGTTAACTACAAGAACAACAGAACTATTTTCAACAGTAATTAACAAAGTACATGCTGCAGAAATTGCTACATGGATTGCAAAAAAAGAACTGAAGCATATGACATAGCAAATAATCCTTACAAATTTAAATTACTTCTTCATAGAAGCAGAGATGGATTTACTAAAGATTCAATTTGGAATTTATGCAATAAACAAGAAAGTCTGTTTTAATTGAAGTCAAAGAAACTGATGAAGTTCTTGGTAGATATAATCATGTCAGATAGAAAAAGCCAAACTATAGTAATGCATATATGATAGCTTGATTTTTTCATTAAAAAATAGAACTATTTGAAGTTCTAATATAAGTCAGCCAATTAAAAAAACACTTGCTATTTATAATAATTCTTATATGAGTTCAGTTTTTAATGATAGTTTGGCTACAGAAGATAATTTAGATCAAAACAATAAATGCCATTGTTGGTATAATCCTTATTTATTGTATATGAAAAACCAGTAAGTGATTTATCAATTATGTTAACAATAAATCAAACTTTTCAGCTAATGAGTATGAAATATTTCAGGTTCATAAAAAAGGTTTATAAGTTGTTTTTACTTAGAATTGATTTTTTTTCATTAGAAGATTTTTTAAAAATAAAGGTTTAACCTTTATTTATAGTTGATAAAATTTGGTGCTACTTATTACTATTTTTTTGAGTGCAAATGACTGCAAAACATTTATTTTAGGAATTGCATTTAATGTAGTATGAACATATTATAGTAGTAATAATAATTGAAATTTAAACGATAATTACATAGATTGTATAATAAATGAAGTTTGTATTTTATATTTTGTTGTCACATGTAGAAAGTATAAATCAAATGATAAATATGGATTAAAAAGTATATAATAAATTTGTTAAAAAAAAGTATATTATAATAGTATGTTTTTTAAAAAAAGTATATTATAATAGTTTTTTTTGCTTTAATAAATTAAGTTCTTATAACATATCAATATTGGTTTTTAACTCGATAATTTTATCATGCCTTTAATTATGCTAGCATTAAGATCACTTTGTTGAATTGCCTGTATGTCTAAACCCTCTTGTTGAGCACCTTCTGTAACCCAATCTTTTAGGGTAATAAGGTCTGTTGGGTCATTGGCTACTAGTGGAAATGTAATAAATTCCATGAGGTAAACAACTTTTCGTAGATCAAGATCATTTGCAGTGTACATCATAACCATATTCAGTACAAATTTCAACAAACTTCAAATTTTTGCAGTGTTTTGAACTCATCTTCTCAAAAACTATTACCAGTATGTAGGTAGGTTTTTTATTATAAGGTTTTTGATCATTTTCATCATTCATTACTGATTGACTTATCACACAATATTTATTCTATTTTTATATCAATTTTGAGTGGTATATTATATAATAATTTATTAACTTTAAAGAGTGCAGATAACTGTTAATTTAAATAAGGAAAATAGTTGGCAAAGACAAATTTTGTATTATATTAAAGAGTATATAAGTTAAATTGAGTGGGTGTTATTTTTGTAAATTAATTTTTAAACTGGAAATTGTTTAATCTGAATTGATATGAATTACTATCTTGCATATCATCATCATTGTTTTTTCTATCTTTTTAATTTGAAAATAGTATTAGTATAATCAGACTACAGCATGTCATCTCAAATATGATCTGGTTTAATATAACTTAACTTATGTATCAATGTAATTACATTTTTGAAGAATATGCATATGTAAATTTATAAGATTATTATATTTATATAAGCAATGTAGAAACATTATAACAAGAATTTTAGACTTCTGACATATTTCAGATTTGTTTACTGAATTTATATCTTTCTATTTAATGAAATATTTAAATAAATCAGAATTCTTTAAGTTTGCAAATAAGAAAAATAACAAGGAAACATACAGTATATCTATTTAATCCTATAAAGTTTAAACAATGAATTGTTGACTAATAAATATATTTTATTGATACAAACCGATTTTAATAATTTGCTTTGTTTCGATATTTAACAACTATTGTAATTCATAACTATCAATTATATCATATCCTTTAATTTGTTTTTTAAAAACCAACATTTCACTTATTGCTTTTGAAGTTTCATTATTAATAATATTCATTTTATCATTATAATTCTTTTTGAGGTTTTTCAAGGCTTTTGGATTCAGACTTGGTAAAGAAAGCACAGTAACTGAAAAATAACTTTCATATAATTCTTTAATATATCCTTTGTTTTGCAATATGTATAAATCTTCTGGTCCCATATAATAGTTTTCAAGTATCATATGCAAAATATAAATATAACTACTTTTATTAGAATCATGTGGCTTTAAATTTGAATTACTAATTATTAAGATAATCAAATTTTTATTAAACTTATTTAAATATTAATATTTTATAGTAATCCAAATTTAATAATTTTGATATTATTAGGTTCATTTTAAGGAGACAATTTGAATAATACCAAAATTTATACTAGTATATAAGCTAATTTTTATTTTATTAGATTTATAAAAGCATCTATTCCAAATTGAGGTTATATTTAAGTTAATTTTGAATAAAATATGCATAATTAAAATTATATATATATCATTAAAAAGAGATTTTCTCTGACATTCTAATTATATATAAATTTTTAAAGATTAATATATAAAAAAAAAAATTATTACTATAAATCTAAACTGTTCTATAACTAATGATTACCTCCTGGATGATTTATTTTTAATACTATTAGAGGATTAGTTTTTATTTATTGCCCATTGTAACAAAGATGAATTATATTAAGGCTGCATCTATAATTTACATTAAACCAGTATTGTCATAGGGATTTTAAAGATAATACAAACATAATACTATATAGCATTACTTTATATAATATTATACTTCTATAATCATTAATAGTTAAACTAGTGTTGACATTAAAAGTTTTATATTTTTGATTATAACTTTTAATGTACTAAACCAATTTGGATAAAACAATCACCATTGGATTTAGCTCACTAAAACCATTTTAATGAGCACAAAATCATTTGATTCTGATTAAGGATCATGAGATCAGGATGATTTTGATGAAGTACTAAACTTAGTACATGTGACTTGGATATAAATAGTTAAATTAGCTAAGCTTCAAATCTCTCAAATCTCTCAAATAGCATGGATATCACATATATCAAATTTTTCAAATATTATATATATATATTATTTATTAGATATCTCTCATATATACAATATCTCTTATATATAACATATAGCATATATCTTTTATATCTTTAATATTTCTTATTATATATTACTATATTTAGCATATTCTATTGAGATAACTTATCTTTATTGTAATAATTTATATATGTAAAATATCTATAAAAGTACTGCTTTCTGACCCTCCAAGAAAGTTAAGTGTCTCTATACACTTCAATAAGAAGTGTCTTCATACATTTCAATAGTTAATAAACTGAATACAATTCTTAGTATCTTCATATACTATTAATTGTTGCCTCTGCCTTAAAATCCCAAATCATTTTGTATATTATTAAGTCTTGTATAGACTTTGTATTGAATCTGTTAAGTTATAGTCATCATACTATAGTTGAACAGTTTCTGTTATCACTATGGTTAAAGGAAAAACTACAGGTTAACACTAGAATGTTTGATCAATATACTAAATCAAACAGATATATAATCCTCTATCAAATTGAGATTTTTATGGTAATTCTATTGATCTACATACTACATAATTGTATTATTGATATCTATATATAAATCATAACACTAATTGCATTAAAAAAATAACCACAATTTTAACTTGGTTAATTTATTCTTACAATTTAGCGATCTAGTTTTTGATTTATTAATTGATTAAAAAAAGTAAATACATTAATTCATGCATTATAACTAGTACTTTGAACTCTCTTGCCAAAATTTTAATGTTTAAGATATAGCACAAGTTATTTATGAATTTGTGTTTTTAAATTATATAAAATATTAGAAAAACAAACAAAATTTTTAAGTACCAAAAAAATCCTCTCGATAGATTAAAAAGCATACTTTTTAGTCTTATTCTACATTATTTTTAAGCTCAAATAATTAATACTAAGAGGAATCAGATTTTAAAGATTTATCACTTTCATATATTAATTTCTTATTTAAAAATGATATTTGTTCATATAACAATATGATGATATTGAAAAACTGTACTAATTGGTTTAATTAGGGGACTATACATATATTTGTCACAATTAGTTGATCAAACACCCCAATAGACACTCTATATAATATGATTATTATTTTTGCTAATTGGTAATTATTAATAATTATTCATCTATTAATAGAAGAATCAATGATACTAAACACTCTAAGTAATATGATTATTATTTTTTATGTTAAAATTTGCTAATTGGTAATTATTAATAATAATTCATTTATTACTTTAATTAAATATTATTCTTAGATCATAAAGTAACTATATATTTTTATTTTATAAAAGTGCTTTACATTTTTAGAGAAATTACTAAAACTAGTTTGCCTACAAGTATTAATATATCTTATTATATTAATGTGTGCTGACTTATTTTTTTTAAGATATATTCATTTATTTTCTGTATCAAAATTCATATTTACTTTTTTATTTTCTTTTTATTAATTTTCTTTTTAAAAAAATTTGATTAGGAAGATTTATTCTGCAACATTAATAAGAAATCCACTAAATAAGAAAATGTAACAAAATATAGAATCTTTTTATGGTAACTAAAAACTGTCAAAGAAAAGTTTATTTAGGTTATTGACAACATTTTATCTATTAAGAATAACCAAAGTTTTATTTTTAACATTGATCAAATAAATAAAATTTTAACAATAGATTTTTATACTGTTGTTATTCTTTTGTTGAAAATGAAAAAGTTTATGTAGTAATCAAGAATAAACAAATAGAGACTAGTAGAACTCAAGTAATAAGAAAGCTTAGAAATGATGACACTGAAAATTTATTGAATGATAGAACAAAACTCATTCATATTGCATTGAATTGGATGCTCTGGACTAGTGATGTAACCTGAAATTCATTGGATTTCATTTTTATATTAAATCCAATAGATATTCACTGAATTTAATATGAAAATGGAATCCAATAGATTTGGGTCACATCTATATATGTAAGATGTTTTAATGGACATTAAGAAAAATTTTTAGGTAGTTAAAAGAGAAAACATTATTGAAATTTGTTAACTTTTATAATCATTTCCATTATTTTTTTTGCAACACTCCAACTAATCTAATAATCATTTCTACTAAGCCTAGTTGTATGATAGAATTTGCTATCAAAATAAATCAAGTTCTCATTACTATAAGGTCTTAGCTCAACAGTTGATTTATTGAATGTGATATCTTTATCAAAATAAGACTTAACAAGACTTATATATTTTTTATTAATTTCTGGTTCAACTTCAGTATTATCCTAAAAACCCACATCAAATTTTTTATATTATATATGTATAAAGAATTAGTATGCATTAAATAGTTAAACCATACCTTCTTCAAGTAAACACTGCCAATATTTATGTGATTACTATGTGGTGTTATTATTAACAACTTATTATTACTATTAAATATCGAGCAATGTAGTAAATCATATTTTTGTTTTGAAATTCTTATCAATTGACCTTTTCTTGGAATAAAAATGTGATCAAACAATTTCTCACTATTCAACCTCACACAATCAATAACAATACCATCAAATGAATCTAATTCAAGTTTCTTGACCTTCTGCTTGATGAATGTAACATTTTTTTCCTTTAGATTGTTAAACAAGAATAATAGATATTTTATTGGATCAATTGTGATGCTGGAAAACTTAAATCCACATATACATTTGTTGGAAAGCTCTGAACTTTCTACAAATTTTAGATCAGCAACAAAATCTTTAAACTATAAGTCTTGCAAACTTATTATTTTATTATTTTCAAAAAAACACTTATAGTTTCCTTTTATATTTAAATAAGTTTAGTTATAACAAACTATTATATTTTTATTTGTAACAGATTGCTTAATACAACTAATAATAACATATATAATCTAAAGTTTAAAACTAGCTAGCTGTAGAGTTATATATAAATAGTTGTTACAATTATATTTTTTTCTTTATATTTATTATATAAAATATGTGTAATCTAAAACCTAAAACTAATTATTATTAGCTAGCTACAGAATTGTTACATATAAATAGTTGATACAACTATATTTTTTTCTTATATTTATTATATAAAATACAAATATATACTGTATATAACAATATTAAATAATACCTTAGTTAAAAAGTTTTTTTATTAAATCAGTTTTTGATATTTTAATTTATTTGTAAAACTTAGATAAATAGGTTTTAAAAATTAAATTTAGATTTTTTTTTATAAAATATAAAAAAATTAATATTTCAATTTGATAAATTTTAAAATAATAAATGTTAAATAAAAATCCAAAGAAATTGTTAAAAGGCATAATATACTATATACACATTTGTATTTTATATTTCATACTAATTTGAATAATATATTATGTTGCTTTTAGATTTATAAATAATATGTTAATTTAGAAGTGACATAAAATATGTATCTTATCATTAGAGATTTATATAATAAAAACTTAAACTCATAAAAAAAAAAAGAACTCTTTTTGTAGATCACTTATACCAAAACTACAAAAAACATTTGATTATTTCTCAACATTCTACTAAGTAAACCTTACTTGACCT